CCTGGTGCCGCCGTGGGAGCGCTCGCGTCCACCTCGCGGGTGGGTGAGGTGCTTTGATGGCTGGGAAGCGCACCTTGGGGTCTTAAAAAACCATAGTAATGACCAAAAAAAAAAAAACAGCGGCTACGAAGCGAACAGATGTAAGCTCGGAGATGGGTTTGCGTGACTGTTGGCTTGGAGGCGGTAAGCTGACTGCTGCCAAGAGCTGTTGAGGCGCACTCGCATCTTCTGTGCGTTGTAAGGTGCTCGCTGGTTTAAAATGTCTTCTGCTTGCCCCTCAGTATGTTCTGAGACATGCTCCTTTTCACCTGCAGACGTGTGGTCCGTAAATCCATTGCCAGAGTCTTAACTGTTATCAATCAGACCCAGAAGGAGAACTTGAGGAAGTTTTACAAAGTAAGTGCATCTTATGTAGCAGTCTGTTTTCTTTCTTGCAGCTTCCAAACATCTGGTACAATTGTAGGGAGACGTGAATTCTGTAGATTCTTACTTGTGAAGTTTAAAGCTCAAGAGAGAATGTTTATTTATGTCAGGTATTTAAACTGTCTGGTTATGATTTCTCTTTAAATATTGCTTATTGCCATACTTAGCCCAGCTCTGCCCTAAATTTTGTAGACGGAGTGTGAATTTGCTCTTGCCAAAAGGATCCTCTGTAGAGCATTGCTATTATGTGGGCTAGTATGCTTTCTAGAAGGTATGGTTCCCAGAATCGGACTGCAGATGCTGTTTGCTATATTGGAAGAGTGTTTTTGTTATCTTACAGATGACAGAGAAACTCTCTCTGTTGAGATGTTTCTGTAGTTTACAGAATATTTTTTATTATGGGCTTGGATTATTCAGAATAGGAGAAAAGGAGAGTATTTCAAGAGGGATTTGTAAGGTCCTCCCTGGTGCTAAACTCAGTATCAGGTAGTATCAGCTCATGTTTTTTAGGGGAGAGAAACTCTAAAAGCCTTCGGACTGTAATGACAGTTCTAGCCAAGAAAAAAAAAAAAAGCTCACCATGCTGCTGCTGATACACTTGCAGGCAGCTCAGCTCTCTATGAGCAAATGCACCTGATCCCTACATTGCAGTCTCTCAAACTCAACTCTTGTATGTTTTTGCAAATAGGGCAAAAAGTACAAGCCTCTTGACCTGCGGCCCAAGAAGACTCGTGCCATGCGACGCAGATTAAATAAGCATGAAGAAAACTTGAAGACCAAAAAACAGCAGCGAAAAGAACGTCTGTACCCTGTCCGGAAATATGCTATCAAGGCGTAAAACTGCAGTGTACTAAAAGTCGTAATTATATTGGCTGAGTATGTCTCATTAAATAGAATTTTGTTTGGAAGCTGTCACTGGTTTCCTCTTTAATAGTTGTGAGGTACAGAGGAGGTCATTGGTTTCATGGAGAAAAATCAGGATTCACAAAAGGTTTAATTTTTTTATTACTGGTGAAAATATGTAGCTAGTACTTTAAGATTTTTTTCGCTCTGAAGAAGGTTCAACCTAACATGTGAGGCAGAAGTATTTAAATTTATTTAAAATCAAAACTTTACAGGGAGATATTTACAGTAGATTGGTATTTGTCATGCCCGTAGCTCAAGTGGAAGTAATGTTTAATGGTTTTCTCTTGTGCCACAATTTAAGTGCTGTGTAGGTGAATTAATTTGCTGAGGAGTCTTAGTGGATTTCATTGAAACTGAAGACTTCTGTCAGCGCTTATTTTGGATTTTTGCCTGACTAGTTAGAGCGCTAAAGAATCCCAATGTATCAACTGCTAGGATAGATGCCATAGGTGTAATGATTTGCCTAGTTGAACCACCTGGCATGAGGCAGGCATTTCACAGATGACTGGTTGCTAATCTGATCGATGCTTCCTGGAGCAGCTCCAAGTGGTGGCTGGAGGGCTTGCAGCCTTCTTTGCAAATGTAGGGGTTTGGTCCGTCTCTGGGATGAATCTGGAATATTGCCTGCAGAGACGAGCAATGTATTTGAAGCTGTAAGCAAAGGACTCTCCTACCAGTGCAGCTATGGGATGAAATTATTAATGCCTTGTGCTCCACTTTGGTGGAGATACAGCAGCTTGGAAGTTAAGGCGTGAGTCGTGTTACAAGTCTTGGCGCATAAAGCGGAGTATTGGTGGTGGTTGCTATAGCAAATCTATATTTGGAGAGTAGAGCACGTACACGTTGATTTCTGGTCTCATAAACTATGACCTAAGAACTGCAGCATTTTCTTTGAAATCTATTAATTTCTGTAACTTGCAGGCTTGTTTGTCATCTTTGCAATATGACCTAGTAAGTGCCTCCTCTTCTTTGAGGAAAAGCGCTGCTACCACTTACATGGGCATCTTCAACAGACCTTTTAGTTCCACATAAAAAAAAAATGTTTTGGTCTGCTTTCCCAGCTCAGGTAATCACAATTTTTGTGATGTTGTGTTAAGTTGACAGCACCACGTAATCAATGGATTGTTAGATCTCAAAAGCTGCTGTTTCCATGGTTAACTCCAAAGAAATATATGTTAATAAGGTTCTTTCAATGCTGCGTATTCCATTCCTTATAGAGATGGAAATGGAATTATGTTAGTGGTTCAACCCTACAATCCAGAAGTAGTTACGGTAGCTGGTAAAGCTGTTTAAGGGTCACCTGGAGCTTGGAACACCTGTGACTAGGAATGAGCTGCTGCTGTCTCACTAGGCAGACTAGCATCTGCAAGTCATCCGCTTCGTACTTTGCAGTTGTCTTCAGCATGCTGCTGCCATCCCTGCAATCGCTCACCATCCCTTTTCCCGTTTTGATCAGAAAGCTGGGTTCTGGCAGCATCCTCCAGGTTTGTTCCCACCTGCAGCTCATTTAATCTTGGCAAACAGCTCCTGAAAGTAAGAGGTCGCCCTCCGGGGTGAACGTGCAGCTGGAGGCTTGGTCCAACATCACCTGTCAACAGAGATACATTTCAGATGCGGGCTGTGTTTGCGCTGTTGGCGCCCTATTGTGCCAGAGGCCTGCAGCAGGATGCAGAGGGTGCTTATAGGTACCAGCCCTCGCAAACTGTAATGTTGCCTGCTGTGAAGCTCTTGCCTAATGCTGCACTCATCTTGGAGGTTATGGATATAGAGATGACTTGTTTCTAATGGCATATAGGTATTTCTTTTGGATGAGAATAGTCCAGTCAGGCTGTTTTTAGCATACAGCATGACATGCTGCTGGGAAGAGAGGAATCTGTTTCATTTGAAGTTAGGGAAATGTAGAGATACAGTAGTATCAGACTGAAGCTCTGTATGCCTGTGAAGGCTGACTGAGGTCAAATGAAACTTGAAAACTGGACTAGAGAAAAGCTGGTTGAACTAAAAGATTGTTACCTCTAAAGTTTCTAGGCACTCGCCCGTCTCACAGTTCCACACTTTCACCTGTGAAGCACAGAACTAGTTAAATGATGTGTTTTTTCTGTGCCAAAGATTGAGTCACAATTGCAAAGGCCTTTTTTTTTTGGTTCTGATGTGGTGAAGGGTTATGCGGTGCTGTTCAAGCATTAGTGATGCAGCAGTGATGGTTTCTGTTAGTGTAGCTAATGCGCTCCAACATGGAAAAACTCTCTGCCTATCAGGGAGCCCTTAAGGAAGATCTGAGAGATGTTTTTTTAGGGGAAAAGATCCTAATTCTGCTTGTTGAACTCAGTATAGGGGTGAAGGATTTTAAGCCTGAGAAAGTGTTAACCAGAGAGCAGTCTAGTTATGTGTGTGGTCAAGTGAATTTCCCCTATCCTCAGCTATTATGAGGGGCAGCGTTACAGAATTATCTTGACAGCTCAGGGTGATGCTAATACTGACTGCGCGAGAGCTTTGCTAGGAGCTTAGTGTGAACCTTAACATGATACGTTCTGCAGTATGGAGACCCAGCCTGGCGCAGTTCTGGACCCGAGCACCATGTGTCCAGGCTGCTGAAGCATTATATAAGATGCAGGATTGCATGTGGAAACTGTTGTTCCTTTAGGCTAACGTTCATATCGCCCTAAGGGCAGGCCGTGTTTAAAATGCTTTACGTTACCATTTCTGAGTATCCTGCAGTGGCCAGCAGTAGCCCATTTCTAGAGAAGGACATGCTTTTCACCCAGCACGTGTGCCCCTCGAGAAGGAAAACGAGCACGCCACTGCGAGGATCCCAGATCCTCACGCTTCTGTCCGAGGAGCCTGATGCCTGAAAGAGAGGAGGGAGAGCTGGTCCTGCGTGCAGGAAATCAGGCAGGCAGGGGCAGGGTTCTTCCGTCAGATGGTGACAACATGAGCTAGGGCTGCTTTTCAGGCAGGCATGCTGTACCCTAACGCTCATCTGGCACATCGCATCTGGAGAGGAGCCCGATGGTTCTTACCAGCATTCCTAATGTGGAAAAGCAAACGCAGGTAATATTGCCCCGATGGCCTTCCAAAATTCTGTCCTGAATGTCAGATTGTAAATTCCAGACTCTGACTGTATGATCCCAGGAACCAGTTGCCTGTCAAGAAAAGAGGGAGCATGAGCTATGGTGTGATTTGAAAATGAAGATGGGAAGAAGCTGAATGCAGCGCAAAGCCTCCGATAGGAGCCACAGCAGGGTGCACTGCAGCAAAGCTGCCTGGAGAGAATCTTCTCTGAAAGGTCTGATTGTGTTACAAATCACTCACTAACATGCCTTCCCTTAGTAAGTAGATGGTGAGGGGTGGGGGTGAGGAGGAAAGAAAGTGAAGCTTAATTACCAGGCAACGAGCATCGGAGGAGAAATCACAGGTCTGGATAGCATCACGATGCCCGGAGAAGACTCTTAACATGTGACCTAACTGCAGAAATGAAATGAACAGCAGCTTACAGCTGATAACTCAAAATGTCCTAAAGTCACAGCTGAGAGGGATTCGCTGGTATATGTATGTTTGTGCAGTTACAATCATAGAATAATTTAGGTCAGAAAGCACCTCTGGAGGTCTCTAGTGCAACTGCCTCCTCAAAGCCAGGCCAGCTTTGAAGTTAAGTCAGTTTGCTCAGGGCCTTCTGCAGTCAAGTTTTAAATACCTCCAAGGATGGAGGTTTATAACCTCTGTGAGTCCCTGTCCTGGTGTTGCACCATTCCCACAGTGAAGAATTTCCCTTGGTGCTGCTTGTGCCTGTTGCCTCTTCTTTGAGTAATCTGGCTCTGTCCTTTCTGTAACCCCCACTAGATGGTCGAGAAGTCCTACCATCTGCTGTATTTTTGAAGCATTTCTATATGCCCTTGTGAAATTATGCCGAGACTAGAGGACGCTCGGCTTCTCTCTTCTGATCGAGCGGCCCTGCCGAGCCCTGCTGGGCTGGGGTACGGGATTTGCAGCAACGAGCGCGCTTGGCACCTGCGTTCCTGTACGAGCTGGGGCTGCGCAGCGTGCAGCTGTGGTAGGGGTAGGGCACTCCTGCGCAGCGCTTCATCGTCGAGAGGGGGAGTACGTGGCCTGTTGGAAACTTGGGCTGCGAAGCCAGGACTGTGCGGCTCAGTGATCACAGCACTGTAGCAGGAGTTAATAATGCCGGAAGAAAGCTTGAGCTTGGGTTTGTACACAGTGCGCACCAGGAATTCCAGGAGATACAGGAGTTCCTGGCGTTGCGCTAGATCCTAGGACTGAGTGACCATCCAGCTGTACCAGGGCGGGCGGCACGACCAGCGAGTCCGCCCCCGGTACTGGCAGAGAAGCTGTGTCCCGTGGGCAAGCAGCCTGTAACCTGGCAGGAGCAGCAGCGCTGGCGCTCTCGAAAGGGAGCCAGGGGCGAAGCGAGGGGCCAGTGCGAGGCCCAGGCAGAGAAAGCGCTCGCTACGCGCTGAGGCCGGGCAGGATCCTCCCCGGGGCCCTCGTCCCGGGTGGCGCCGGGCGGATCCTCCCCGGGGCCCTCGTCCCGGGTGGCGCCGGGCGCTCGTGCTGCCCCCGCTTTACCTGAGGGTCCCAGAGGATGGCTGTGCTGTCCCAGCTCCCCGAGAGCAGCTGCCTGCCGTCCGGGCTGAAGCGCACGCTCTCCACGCTCCTGCGGTGGCCTGGAGGAGAAGGCG